CCCCAAAACCCCAAAACCCCAAAACCCCAATATGAGGTTTATCTATTGAATAATAGTTTGGAAGAATATGAGCAGTTATCTTCGGATGATTTCTTGGAGCATGTAAAAGGGAAAGTTGATTATGGGAGAATGTCAAAAGTCACTTTTAGAGTTTTTAGAGGCTTTTTCAAGGAGGTTGACAAGATTGATCTGGTCTTCTTTGGAGGTGCTTTTAAAGGATTAATAGAACAAGAAAGAAAATTAAAAACAATCAATATTATGCTCTAAAACTCTTAAATTATCAAAAAATCATTAACCCTTCTTTCCATCCAAAACCCTCATCTCCTTTCAAAACTACATCTAGAAACTCACCTCTTTCTTTATAAATCGACTTCCTACAAAATCAGAGTTCAAACTTACACAAACATCTTATTATAGTTAATACGACCATTGCCCACAGTCCTCAGCTTATAATTTAAATCTTGTAATTTCTTCTGAATACTATTTAGAATGCTGCATGAGGCTAAACAGTTAAGCTGACGCTTACTTTTGAATGGCATTGTCGTTCTTCAAGGAGAGAAAGGTCTTTGGCATTGAAAATTTTGAACTGATTTTGAGTTTACATGTTGAATGGTTGGGCTTGCTGGTCTAGGTGAGGTTGGTAAGAAATGTTTTGGGAAGAAGAAAATTGGGATTTTGGGCAAGGATGAAGGGTTTGAAGGGGACAATAGCTTTGGATGGGTGAAAAATAGGCAAGGAGTATTAAATGTTAAGGTGATTTATGGAAATTTGTCAAAATTAGTGGTAATTGAGTCAGATATATTTTCTCTCTGATTTATTTGCTTTGAAGGATTGCAAGTTAGAAGGAAGAGTATATCTTATTGTTATATCTATTGATCTTTCTTTTAATCATACCATTTATAATAATAAAATGTAATCTTGTCTTAAAGAGAAAAAGTATATATCGTCTGAATTAAAGAAATTCTTAGTTTGTTCATAGATTTACTCAAAGTTTAATAAATCAATGAAGAGATTCTTTTAGCATGTAAAAATATCAAATTTACAACATTAGAAAAAGCATACATGAGTTCACTAAAAATCCTAATACAATCATATAAATTCATCACTTTTTAAATTCAACACTAAAATTCTTTTCCAATCTCTTCCAGTCTTAGTTCCTTTATTCCCCTAAATATCTGAAAGCCCAACTCTCCTTTGCCATCTTCTCCATACCTTTCTAGTCCTCATCAATGCGCTCCTTCTGCTCTCTTTCATACCCAAAAATTCTTTGCCTGATTTGAGTCCATGTTCCACACCATTGCATGCAGAATCCTGACCGCTGATACCTCTGAATGTTTCATATCGTTTATTTAGTGTCTTTACTTGCTGCTCTTCTAAAGAAAGGTTATAGGTCAGAGTTAAATACAAAGGTGCAATTTTGGTATGAAACTGATCGTGTTCGAAGAGATTGAGGATCAGTACAGAAAATGGTTTTTAAGAGAAGGATGGGCAGCTGAGAAGCTCTGACTATTTAGCATAAAGGGGTATATAGATAGGGATGGTGGAAGGTCTAATGAATAGTTGGGTAATTGATATTTAATATGATGAAAATCCTACAGTTTATGCTCGCTTTATGCTTGGCATTCATATAAATATTAACATCTAACTTTTAAGTTTACTTTTAATAGGTAATTTTTTAGTCTCTCGTTTGATTCTTCCATATGTTTACAATCTAGATGACAAAGATTCGGAAGATACTTTTAAAAGCTAATATGGTATTTTAAAAAGCTTGATTCTTCTAATGTCTCTTAAAATGTAAAAATTCCATTTTCCTAAGAATAAAATTATAGTTATAATTCTAGATTTCAGCTTACCTCTTATTCTCCTTCGAAGAAACAAGGTCACAGAATTCATTTGAAGATTTGAGCATTTTCTGGATATTCTGATAGAAAAGGCTGTCTGAAATAATCAGAGATAGGGTTTACTATAATATTTTGGTCTGACCTCGGTTGGCATCTTCCGGTGACATTTTGTGTGTCCTTGAAGAGTATCATGAAGTGAGCTTGTTGCAACTGCTTTCGAAAAGATGCTGACATCGTCTATAAAACCTTGGCTTAGACACCCACATAAAACCTGGTTTGTGTAAGGGATGTGGAAATGTATTAGATAGGATTCCAGTCGGCTAGGTAGGTTTACATGGTAAAATATTAATCCCCCAGCTTTTTAAATCAAAAACGGATATTTTTAATCAAATATCCTACAGATAGCAGCTCTCTTACCTCTTGAATTTTCGCTGCCGGAGATATTTACATGTGAGCGTTCAACTCTATTTAAGCATAAAGGTTTGCTTTTGTGGAAATAAAGACGCCCTCTTTGGAACAGTTTCTTCTGCCTGGAAAAGTCAGAGTCTTCCACTCTTTGGCTCTTATTGATGGTTTTTAAGTTGGTTGACTACAGAATAGTTAGTTGATGCCTTATTTGACTTGATAAATCAAATGATGTACTACAGGCCCATGCCAAAGGATAATTCTAATCTGCTTACCATATTAAGTAAATATATTTTCAATTGTTTTATAGTAAATTGGGGTTTTGGGGTTTTGGGGTTTTGGGGTTTTGGGG